CCTCCACATGAGGCTCGTTGATCTAAAAGCCACGTTCACGTCTACTTACAGCAGGAGGTTGGTCCCTTGTGAATGTTCCCAAGGTGTGCCAGCTCATGTTACGTTGAGTCATGGTGTGCTCACCTTTTCTAAATCTATCTATCTATCTATATATATATATATATATACACACACACACACTGGGATGCCAAGTGGGTAGAAATCTGAATGAACATCTCACTGAACATGAAGGTGGGCAGCTGCGAATCCCAGTGAAAATGGAAAGTGGAAAATAAACCCAAGAATATAATGTCTTCAGTGCTATGTTTGGCTGGCAGGGGCTTTTTTTAGGCTAAATTTTCTTCTGTGGGAATTGCACTGATCAATAAAGGTGGAATAAAACCATTATGGTTATCGTGAGAACTTAAAGCACGTGAAATGCGGATATCTAAGAATTGGCAATTCAGTGAGAAAACATGTTTCAGGAAAATGTCACCGTATTTTGCTCCCAGACTGATCCTTGGTGCAACGTGGAATATAGTAAGTAAGGTGATTTTTACAGCTCACTGGACTTTTCGTGCAGATTACACCGTGAACTGTGCTCAGAGGTCTCATTTGTTGTAAATCAGTATCTTTACAATCAGAATCCAAACTGCAACCTGATGGTGCTCTGCCAAAGAACTGCGTCGTTCCAGGAGGATGAACTGCAGTTTGAATGATTATTCTGGTTAGCAAAAAGGAACTTTGCTTGAAATTAAGTTGTGAGTACTTTAAAAAAATGACACAGGAATGTTTTCTGAGTAAGAAACATGCAACTGCTAACATCTTTGTTGTCTCTTTTTTTTAGCTCTGATTTAAGCTTAATCAAGGAAAGAAATGGAGATTCTGTCAGACTTATTAGCTGTCATTTTACCAAAATCTATACACAAGTTAGCTGAAACATTATTTTCTCCTTTTTTTTCCTTTTTTTTTTCTTTTGTCCTAATCATTCCCGCAAACCAAACCAAGTGATCAATCCTTAACGGCCAGTGCTGTGGTCACCTAAAGAAAACTTTAAGTGTAGCAAATCGTTGTGCCTCTCAGGGAACTGGGATGTACACAAGAAATGGACTTTAGAGTTAGCCCCGGACTGTAAAGAAGAGTTTGGACCCCAGGTTCTGCCACAGAGTCAGTTTATTTCAGCTCGAGCTGGGACCCCAAAGACAGAAGTCCCTGGGCAATCACACCCATGCAGGCTCCCCACATGCGCCGGTTGGGTACAATAATAACATTTGAGTCTGGGGTCTTCTTGTTCCTCATTGGATCCTTTCTCTCTCGCCAGGTGGGCACTCTGTGCTTTATTTTGAGGATGCAGTTTCTGTTGATCTTGTCAATTAATGCTGGTGTCTTGGGCTTTCCTCAGCCTAAGCTGAGGTAAACGTATTTAGGTAAACGTCCACAGTCTATGGGCTAAGGCTTCAGTAAATCTGGCTACTCATGCTAAGCAACGTCACTCATAAGGCAAAATGTTTCAATTCGTCGGAATTTTAAGCGATGCCACAATTAATCTTAATATTGTGCAGGTAAACTGTTTTAATCTCCAACACTGACACTCCGTTGTTAGGTCCATTTTACTGTGTAAGGTTTTCCAAGTTCAAGCTGAAGTCCTTTGATAAGAGCAACCTATAAATATTAAACAATAAACAGTTATTAAACCTCTGATCACATCTGCCTTTCCTTCAGTCAGAAGAGATGCCAGTCCTCAGGAATAATACGTATTGCTATGCAACAACTCACAAAACAACCCCTGTCTTGTAAAAATTGCTATAGCCTCATTTTTACAAACATAAAGAACTGATATTCTTGCAGAAAAAAACAGGAAAAATTAAGAATCTTAAAAAAAAATGAATTGATTGCACAGCTTCCTTGGAAGCCAACAGGAAAAAAGATAAGGGCACGACTCCTTAATTTTTGAAATGTGAATGCAAGAGCTAAGAAAAAATTAAAATAATTTTTAGAGGTGAGCCTGGTAGGGTTAGGTAACAGTTGGACTTGATGGTCTTAAAGGTCTTCTTTTCAACCAAAACAATTATATGATTCTGATTCTACTTATATTTGGATTCAGTAACTGAGATAACAGATAACTCAGGTGCTTGTAATAAATGAAGAGGGTGTACAATGCAGATTCAAACCAACATCAGCACTGTCCTTAGTGCGAGAAAGCATTTTCATGAAAGCTTCCCACTAACAGAAGCACGTTAACTCGCTTTGCACAGAACAGCTCTGTTGCTGCCACCCTGGGAAAAATGCTGTATAAAGTGATAAAGGGGGTTTAAACTGCGTGCTTGATTTTGGTTTAAAAATCAATGCTTAAATACTCATCTAAAACGCAAGTATTTGTTACTCTCTGTCTCTCTCCCTAATACCTACCCTCCGCCAATATCAAACAAAATCACAAGACTATTCCTTCTCTTAGAAATTTAATATTGCTACCTGATAGAAATTTAATATTGCTACGTGAATAACCACATAAGTAAACTTTCTGTTGGGCTGAGCGTGAGAGCAAAACTTAGATGTGCTTTCTGTGCAGCTGAGTTGAATGCAATTGTCTTTTTGCTCTGTAATAAAACACACAAGGCGTTCTGCTGAAACATTAGTACTGTGTGTTGTCCTTAGCGATGTATAAAATAAAAGAGATGCAATTTCAGAGATGTTTACTTCCCATTTTCCTGGTTTTGCTTTACCTTTTCGACAGAATTATAGGTGATATTCAGCTGAAAATTTTGCACGATGTTGTTCTGAGATACGGTAACTGCCGTTATTCCCTTGGGTGCTCCCAGTACCTTGATTTCTTCAAATATCAAGTTGTTTGAATCAGTGTAATTGTTGTGTACAGTAACTACGTTTAGCCCACTCTGAAAAATAACGTAGTGATCACATTCTCATTAAAAAAACCTGTCCCAAATCCTCATAATTTAATAGCTTTTTCTATAGTGTAGCATCAAGTAAGTCAGTAGCTTTTCCCTAAAATTGAATTATTGCCCTGCTTGTTATCAGTGATGCTTTTCTACCATGTATATAATTTACTTCTTAATTGTGTTTCAGCTTCCTTGTTTTGCTTGTTTCAGAAATAACAAACGGCTGACACATGTCTGTGACAGGGCAGATAATTTCTACGATGGTGATCTCACCAGGTTCCAACAAGTGAAGATTCATACTCGCTTCTCCTGGTATAAAAATACTTGGTAAAAACAGAACATTCACCTCCTTTCGGACTCTAACTGCCCTCAACGCTTTCTAGTTCTCTCGTTCAATAAACATGCTGAAAGGATATAGGACATCTTGAGATACTTACATTAGAGAGGAGAGAAGAAAAGAGAGAGAGTAGATTTTCATTTTCACTGATAAATCACAATATTTGCAACATGACTTCTCTTTGTCAAATACTTTACTTTTAAGTAAATCTTACAGGAGAACAAGGAGCAAGAAAAGATTGCCCTTTGAAAATATTGATGAAAATCAAAAATGAAAATAAGATCATATAAAATAAAATACTTACATTAGAATATACAAACTCAAGGTGAATATAGGCTTTATTCACAACCGTATCTAAAAGGTAAAGAAAGAGGTTACACTTGCAGTGCAGAAAGTCATTAAAATGTCAGTAAAAAGGACTGTGCTAATGCTAGAGACCAATAAATTGCTATTAATTATCACTATTGCATTCAGGACCTGCACTGAGGAACTCAAATATTTACTAATGCTTCTTCGAGGAACTGAAATATCTTCTTATTTTTCTTAGGTCACCCTCCCAGGAGATCTAATTCTCCAAATTTTCAGAAAATCCGTTGGCATTAGCTTTTCTAAAATACACTAATATTTCTTTGACTGTTATTTCTTCTCAGCTTGACTTAAATATAGATGTATGGCTCAAAGTTAATTTTTAAAATATCCTACATAACTGCTTTTCATGAAAAATTTAAAATAATTTTTAATAAACTCTGCAGCAGAACCATAAGAGAGGAAATCTACCATTTTGGTTTTCCATGTAGGAAAAGAAAAATACTGTAATTGCAAGCAAATTGTTAGCAGTTTCCCTGAAAAGAGTGCAACCTGTAAGTTTGGGGCAGGAAATAAAATCATAAGATATTTTATTGTTTTGTTTCTCAGCAGAAGTGAGTACAATAATGGCTTTGTTATTTTAGGCCTTGACAAAGGAGTACATATAGCTGTCACACTTATATACAGCAGCCATCAAAGACCTTCCGTATTTATGGCAGCAATAATGAGTTGAATCACAGCTCTATTTCATAAAAGCATCCCTAACTTCCACAAAATTTTGCAAAAGCAGAGGCTTCGAAGTTTTTCAGGAAGGTGAGACTGGTTAAAAAGATAAATGGAAGTTCTAGAGGTTGAATGCATCATGCAGAGGAGAAGGTAGCTATGCAATTAAGAAAAAGGGGATGCAGTTCTGAACCCCAAGAGTTACTTTGCTTTTTTATTTTAAACATCTCTGTTGTGGTTATTTGGTTGTTGGTTTGGGTGTTTTTTATCTTTTCTTAATACTAGCTTGTGTCGAATTAAGTGGCAGTCTTACCCTCAGACAAAAAAATGAAGTTATTTGTGTTGTAAATTGTCTGACAGAAAAAAACCTGGTGAGGTAAGTAGTATTGACGCCGGTTCATCAGGAGAGATGAGGCTGACAGGCTTTGACATCACCACAGCGACTGTCCCAGGGGGAAACAAATTCTCCGTCAGCTTCCCTAAAGGCGAGCTTGGCAACGTGACAAACAGAGACCGGGCCCCCTTACTCATGTGCCCCCTCACCAGTGTGCTGTGGGAACCAGATGGCGTAAAAAACATCGGCCCCAATGCTGGGATTTGGAGTTAGTAAAGTTTCTACTGTTTTCATCAGCACTTTCGATAATTTCAGAGAGGTAATAACAGTGCTAGTTTTCATCTTCTACTGATTCTTAATGTCGAACACTAAATCTGTGCGTTCTTGCATCCGTTGAAACTAATTTGGATGTATACCAGAACATATATCAAGCTTGACAGCGTGGTTTAACAGACTGCATGCCGATGAACCAAACCTTTACATATTTAAGGCTACAGTGAAACTTAAACCAGATGAAAACTAAAATAACAACAGTTATGATTTCACTACTTAGAAGTGGTGAAAAAGTGATGATCAGGTATTAATAGCATGGTATAACGTTTCCAATATCTTATTCTTGCTCCATGAAATCAGCAGGATGATTGACACGCATACATATCAGAGCTTTGGAAATCCTATTTATTTTACTGCTGAGAACTGCTCACCTGTAGATTCTCCATCATCCCAGAACAAGTCCCCAAATGCTGTATCATTGTCATTTGGGGCAATTATGAGTCCCATCGGATTCTTGCGGCTATGGAAAGAGAGACTTTCTGTCTTACGTGTATGACATATATCAAAACACTCTTAAATTCCTCCATGTTCACATTAAGAATTTGACACTCAACAGGGTTGCAATACTTTGGCAGTTTCCTTAGATTGGCCCTTGGTTGCCTTTCTTTTTCATGTAAATAGATTAAAAAAATATATGACAAGTTTACAAAATGCCATGCAAATAATTAATTTATATTGTATTTATGATGAATTATAATTATAATTAACCATTGAATCTGTAATGTAAACAGCTGTGGAAATGGAGTGTTGCTCAAAGTTATTCCCATAGTTCAATTTGAAAATACTAAGTAAAATTTGGGAAAAAAACCCTCCAATAAATATAAAAGCATTGAGTTTTGAAGCGTACCTCTGAACCGTTGTGGTAGCAGGTTGCTGGGTAGGGTAAACGTAGCCTCCTCTCAGGTGGAGTCCCATTTTGTCGGCTGGCAGGTACAGAGTGGTCCATTCCTTTCTTGCTGAGATTTTTGCTCCCTTGTTGACAGGGATGAAAAAGAGAACAGGTACATCATGTTACCTGCCACTCTGAGTCTTGCATTTCACCTTAATGCCTCATTTAGAAAAGGCTTCAGTTAAGGAAATATCTCTGTGCTGATGGGCACATAAAGATATTACACCTGTCTGTTGGTATGATCTGATGTCTCTCATCAGCATCTCTCACTATTTAGCTTTGGCTCAGTCAGTGCGGGGACAGCAATTCTTGTTGGGATTCTGACGTAAATAAGGGAATCTGACATAAGCAATGTCCTTTTTTACCCATCAAAAAAATCATTTCAGCAGTTCATGGAATGGAATCATAGAATGGCCTGGGCTGGAAGGGACCTTAGAGATCATTTAATCCAACCTCCCTGTCATGCGCAGGGACGCCTCTCAACTAGATCATCTCAACACATGGGGACCGAACGGGGTAAACTTAGTTGCAGAAATCAGATTAGTAAACAACAGCTGCAGACTTTTGCGTATTATAACTACAGTATTTTCTTTCATTTTGGACACAATCTTTGCTAAAGTCTCCACTCAATCCATCTTCCCATCTCCTGGCTATATTCTACACCTCTCTGTCCTTTCTTGAGGCACTGATTCATGCACGTACCCCACCACCCTTTACCCCCTGCCTCATCATTTCCTTCCTGGGGGTTTCTCTTTAAGGTCTCTGTCACCAAAGCAGGGCTGACAATCTTGTGCTGCCACCCAGCCATTTCAAAAATCTCCCCACAGTATCCTCTGCATTTCCTTACCGTTTCATACTCGTACCACACTGCATCAGGAATATATGCTTGAATTTGGTCCACACCCTGAAAAGTGAACAAAGAGACAACTTTCATATTTGAAGGCAGCTTAACTGAATAAACTAAATTTTCCAATAAATCTGAAGTTTGCGTTGAGAAAAACATGAATACTTCTCCTCTCTGCTGTTTTCATTTATGGTTTTTACGATGATGTCCAGGAAGGAAGAGAGCAATCCAAGTGCAATTTCTACTGGCAAAGCCACTGGGAAACAATTTAATCATCGCTCTACAAAGTGGCAGCTCATTGTATGGAACCCGAAGTCACTGCGCTTCAGATCCTGTGGCTCAGATGATAATCACAATTATCTCTATATCTTCCTTATTTGAGAATATAGAGATCATTTTTCTGGGTTGGCATCTTGCAGATTCTTGCCTTCCTTGTATCGGTTTCACAAATGTTTTGTGTTTCTCCACAGCATATGGCATTAACATTCATTATTTACAAGGTTCTGCCACAGAAGCAGCTACCATCTCTATGCTTTGTTGCTGCACTACGGACAAGCTGAAATGCTGCAAGAGAAGCTGATTCTGAAGCAAATTCAGAGATGCTACAAAGTTGACCAGATGACTTTGACTCTCTAGGGGACTGGAAAATAAGAGTGGGTTTTAATAGCGCAAAGAGCGAGATTTTTCCATTTCAGCAGTTATGAAAATAGGTTGTGGGATCTCTCACTGGAAGTAAAAATGGAAAGGGGAAAAAAAAATAATCAAAACCAAAGCTTGTTAGGAATCCATCAACAACCATAAGTCAGTAATGTGATGTACCCATGAAAAAATGAATATAATCTAAGGATCCAACAAAAAACATGTTTGGACTGGAGACAGAGCTGTGTTAATGCTAATAAACAAGGCCCTCTGCAATTGCTTTGCCAATAGAATTTACAACTCTGGTCAAGGCAGAAGAGTTCAGACTGGAAGAGGACCAGACCAAATTTCCTGGGATTCTCAGGGAAATGGCAGACCCTACTTTTGCTCTTCAGCTTGTTCAGTTAAAAAAAGAAAAAAAAAAAAAAGAAAAAAGGAGGGGGGGGGGGTAGCAGGAAATGCATATATAGTAGAGGAGCAATGAGCTTTAAGCTGAATAAGAGAACTGTCACTGAAAAAAAAAGACTTGGAACTGGAAGGTGGTTTCTAATCAGAGCAATAAAGGAGTGTCAGGAATAGCACAACCTGAGGATTTTATGCTGCAGTCCCCTGCCAGAGAAAAAAAATGGAACAGGTGATCTGACATGTCCCCGTGCCCCGTGAAGTGGTTATGAGATAGATACCAAAGCAGCCAAACCTACCGGGTCAAGTACAGGAGAAATAAGCAGGCCAGGACCCCACAGGAACTGCTTATGGACAAACCACGTTGCTTCATCAGAGTAGAACCTGGCATGTGGGAAAGATATAGAAGAAACCGTCTTTTTATGAACTATATCATCAGCAGCAATGCCAATATTTCAGGGTACTGATTGTCTAGAATCATTTCCTTCCATATCAGGGAAGGAAACATATGTTCTAATATATATGTATGATGGTGGAGAATAATTTGATTAGCTCACAATAACATCTCAAAACAAGTCCTAACTGACTGACAATAATATATGCATATATGCAGAAGTTACAGATGGTTTCTGATTACTCTTGTGATTACTCCAAAATAGTATTTTATGGATTGAGAAGTTGTCTATATATATATATATATATATATGCGCTAATGTGCATTTTCACAGACTACACTTGTGTTTAGAAAATCCCTGACATCATTTAAAGTGTCTGATATTCTTATCCCTTATAAAACTGTCACATAGGCTGGTAAGTAAACTTACTCGTGCAAAACTGGCCGTGCAACTGTGCTTCCTTGAGTATGAGCTTTAAAAAAAAGTGTGTACAGGTAGGGTAACAACGTGTAGCGAATGTTTAAGTAGTTCTTGGAGGTTTGCACCAAGACTGAATCAGCTCCAAACGCAGCCGGATCCTGAGACTGAAAACACATACAGATTATTAGTAGTACTTTGATCACGCAGAAAACAACACATTCTGCGAAACGTGTGGAAAGCAGCTGCGGTTTCAGAGAGGCTGAAATTCAGGGGTGCACATCGGCACCAAGTTTTTCTTTTCGGTGGTGTGACCTGAGGTCCCGCTCCTCTGGGTTCTCCCTCTGCAAGGAGGTCACGTCAGAGATAGCCTGGCTCTCATCCAGGCATGCCGGAAGTTGCCAAATAAGTGTAATCCAAATCAACCCTTAGGAAGATCTAAGCTTGTATAAAAAGAGCTAAAAGTTCTTCTATTTTCAAAGGAGGCAGCTACGTAATCATCAGTAATAGCAATTATTACCGGTGATGCTGTTAAAGGGAATGTGGTAGTGCAACACAAAGGATTTTGTAAGAGAAAGAGCAACTTACTATGTATCCTTCAGCATTGTGATTCCTGGCAAATGGGTAAAATGCTCCTAATTGCATCCATCGTGTGCAAAGTTCCTCTGTGGTGTTGTCAAAGAAACCACAAATATCTGCCCCAACCTTTAAACAAAAGCAGAACGTGTTGGATGTGCAGCACACCACGCCTCTAATCTCTGCATATTTGTACCTTTCTTTCAAATTCAACTCTGGTGTACATAAAAAAAAATAAATTAACTCCTAGCTAACACTTCCCACTGTTCTATTTCTTCCAAATCTTTACCTTCCTGTGTGGTGCTAATATGCACGCATTAGGAAAAAACCTCAAGGGTCGTACAGATTTAAATAACGGAAAGGAATTTGGTTATTTCCCTTATAAATGGATGTCTCTCTTTAATCTGAAGTAATAAGAAAACCAGCGAGGTGTTTCATATTGTTCACTAGTGTTGAAAAATTACTAGAAGTAACAGGTACTTTGGGATATATATATGAGAGACATATATATATATATGATATATATGTGAGATATATATGATATATGTATTTATACATACATTATACATGTGATATATATATGTATCATTCATATATATATATATATGATATGTAAGATGTTTGTTACCCACATTTGTCTGACCATACACACACAGCCACAGTAATTAAGTGGCCTAATCCAAAAATCAATAACTGGGGGAAAAAAAAGTTAAAAGCAGATTCCTAAAAGGGATTAATCTGGAGGTGAAACTATGAAATGGTTATCTAGTGTTTGAATAGATAATCTGTTAGCACAGAGGTAGAATTACTGCTTATCCGAAGGTTTGAAAGGGATGTCAAAAATTAATGTCGTACATGAGGAATTCCGAAGAGGTTGAAGTCCAGCATTCCAGGTATTGACCATTTCAGGTGATCCCATATTGCTGCGTTATCTCCCAGCCAGTGTGCGGTGTAATTCCCTGATCCAATGAACGTAGACCTCGAAAAAAGGAAGCTTCGTTTTCCAGGAAACAGTGATTCAATGGCTCTTAAAAGGAAATGAGACGGGAATTATGGGAAGGAAAAAAGGTGACTGGGACCAGCGACAGTTTTAGGTAAGGCAGATACACAACGGCTTATTTACAAGAACTATTCATCGGAGGAATGTGGACTCCTTTACAGTTAACCAAGTGTGCTTGAGCGAAGTTCAAGACACTAGTTTTAAACAATTGTTCTATACACTAGTTTTAAACAATTGTTCTATATAGCTTTGGAAACCAGTGTGAGACTTTTACTACCAACTTCACTTAGTAGGTTTTGCCTTAGCTGCATTGGCTTAAATATAATACAGTATTTTCCAGGAATTGTGTTCCTTCAAAGTGAAATCTCTCCTGGTTTTGGAAAATGCAGGTCATTTACTGTTCTGAAGCCTTTTTGTAAAGATTTTAGGATGTAGTCCTTACTTTCGTGTTGATATGGCCATGGAATATCCGTAAAGACTGTGGACATCATACTGCAGCCCCCACTTCTGCACAGCATCCATACAAATCGTCTTGGCAAACAGTAGCCTATCAAGAATACCTTCAATAAAATAATACAAATTTCACTTTTAAAGTACCTTTTTCATTATGAATATTTCTATTATTTTCTTTAATGCACATTCATGATATTCAAGTCCTTTTTTCTCTTTAATGTTTGCACTAAGGCCCATGTTACAACTACAAAACCAAAACGCCACTCTCGACTGCTGGTTGGGTTCATCTTTGCTCTGTGACCTTTTCTACTCTTGAGATTTTCACCCACACAAGCAATAACTGAGAACTATGCTCTAAATTTCTGAACTGTGAATTCTAATTCTGCATACGTCTTGGGAACTACTGATAGTGAAATAAGATATTACCAGACATAATTAAAGCAATGACAATATTCAGTAATAATTTGAAAAATGAGGGAAAAAACCCCAAACAGTGCAACTCTATAAACAGAATAACTCCATAATCCGTGCCTTTGACAAGAGTCAAAATATATCAGTATTTTCTGTCAGTAGTCATTTGAAAGAAATACACTAAAATCACTTTGCATATTTGTAGTCAATTGCTCATAATTTTTTTTTTTGATATTTTGCTTTCTGCTTAAAGTAGTTGGACTTACAGGGAGTGAAAGGAGGATAATTTAAGTCATTCTGTGCGCAACCTTTTATTGAGCCTCTAATGAAATTGGATACTTCATTCATATCCTGAAAAGATAAGACACAGAATTGGTACAGCAAGAGTCTATTAAAGTTTCCTCAAGCATGTTTACCTAACAAAGCCTTACACTGCATTCTTTTTAAGGAATAATTACTTAGAACTAGCATCATACAATTAGGCAAGAATAATAGAACTCAGATATTGACTTGGTCTGTTCCTGTATTAATAAATGTCTCAGTGTTGGACAGATTTCTTTATGCAGGTGAGCATCATGTCACAAGAGCTTCATCTTGTCCCTCCACAGAAAGAAGCTGCAAGAGATGCTCATGTGTCCATTGCCCTTACCTGTGACCAAATCCACATATCTCTCAAGGAAATGTTTTTAGAACAGAGTGTGTGTTTGGAGAGGAGTGCAGAACCAGCAAGCAGACTAGACATTCTTAAGCATCTACTTTATAACACATTCCAAGCCATTATGCTTTCAAATTTTCTGCCTCCTTCCGTGAATATTTTATTTGGCGGTGCTGTAAGTACATTTCTATGTGTATCCCTGAATGTACTGCAGGGAAAGCATGCATGGAAGAGGAGAGCAAATTCATCATGGAGATGCTGTAGTCTAGTGACTGATTCGCTCTCAAATTATTTGCTCTCTATAGGAGAGCTGTGCAGTCTTACACTTCATAGCTTGACGAACCACAGAGTCAACAAAAATAAGTGAGGAAAACTCATTCTATCACATTGAATTGGGTTTGCATGGTAAGGTCTTCGTAGCAGGGAGGCTAGAGGGGTGGCTTCTGTGAGAAACTGCTAGAAGCTCTCCCTCCTCTGATGGAGTCAATGCCAGCTGGCTCCAAGACAGACCTGGCCAAGCCCATCAGTGATAGTGGTAGCGCCTCTGCGATAACACATCTAAGAAGGGGAAAAAGAAAACTGCAGAACTGCAGCCGGAGAGAGGAGTGAGAATGTGGGAGCAAGAACTCTGTAGACACCGAGATCAGTGAAGATGAAGGGGGAGGAGGTGCTCCAGGTGCGGAGCAGAGAGAACCTTGCAGCCTCTGGTGAAGACCACGGTGAGGCAGGCTCTCCCCCTGCAGCCCATGATGGTCTATGGTGGAGCAGATGTCCACCTGCAGCCCATGGAGGTCCACGATGGAGCAGATGACCACCTGCAGCCCATGGAGGACTCCACACCAGAGCAGGTAGATGCCCAAAGGAAGCTGCGATTCCCTGGGAAGTCTGTGCTGGAGCAGGTTTGCTGGCAGGACCTGTGGGCCCCTGGTTGAGCACACATTCACTGAGCAGGTATGCAGGTCTTCAAATATTGCCATTCTGAATACAGGAGCGGGCTAGAATTTGCCTTTAGCAACGGTTCATCAATTTAAGCATTTTAAAGTGTCACTGAAGATCCAACATCCAGCACACTGATTATTTAAATGCTATGATTAATGATTCAAATTAAAATTTAAAATTCAAATTTGAATTACAAATTCAACAGCAGAAGATGTGCGCATCGTGCACTGATTTCAGGTTAGCAATAGTAAACATCCCTTTCAAATTCAATGCAAATCGAATTTGGTAAACATCTATCCCTGCTTATTTTTTTTTAAAAAAATCTGAATTACTTACAATCCAGATTCCATCATACGGCACTGTGTCATAAAATATTTTGCATTCTTCCACCCACCAGCTAGTGCAGTCTGGGTTGGTGAAGTCCGGGTACACAGCCTCCCCTGGCCACACCTGTAATATTAAGAGAAAATTATTAACTAAACTTTGAATGATATTTTTAAAAGTGTTCACAGAATCATAGAACAGCCCAGGCTGGAAGACCTTGAAAGATCATCTGGTCCCACCTTTCATAAGAAAGGGAACCCAGATGAGATTATCCAGCTCCCTGTCCCATTGCTTCTCAAAAACCTCCAGAGATGGGTACTCTGCCATGTCCTTGGGAAGGTTGTTCCAGTGACTGATTCTTCTCACCATAGAAAATCTACAGTACAGCTTGTATCCTCATGAAAAGAAAGTCTCTGTCCTCTTTGCAGCTTCTCTTTAATTACTGGAATACTATGATGAAGACCCCCTGAGCTTTCTCTTCTCTAAGGAGAAAAGACCTAACTCCTTTAGTCTTTCCAAATGGAACAGGCTCTCCATCCCTTTGATCATCTTTGTGGCCCTGCTTTGGATCCTGTCCAGTCTAAAACCAGAGCCCGAAATTACCTACCTTAATTTTCCTTTTTATTTAGTGTAAAAAATTGCAAAAAGAAAAAAAAAATCAAGAAAGGTTGAGAAGTATCACATCCTGAGTGAGACCTTATAAACTTAGCTCTCATTGGTAGTTAATTTTACTGGAAGAAGCAACTTAGAAAATGAAAGTTTAAAAGGAGCAACTTAGAAAATGAGAACTTAAAAGGAGCAACTTAGAAAATGAGAACTTAAAAGGAGCCCCTGGCCTAAATTAAACCGTAACAGTGACAACAGGCCAAGTTCATATTCATGAAAATGCAATTACCTCCCCAATTAATGGTGTTACTCCATCTGATTCATTAACCCAGATTTTTTTGCTCTGTCCTCTGTCATAGCTTCCATACGGACCATCAGCTAGTTTCTGTGTGCTAATAGCAGGATCCTAAAAAAGAAATAAGAAAACAAAAAGAAGGAACCAGGCTACACTCCGTCAGTTATTATAGACTACTAGAACGTTACGCAATAAATGCAACAATTGTGTAGAATAAGCGAAGTACAATAATAAATAGTTACAACAATAACATTTATAAAGGAAAAAGAAACAGCTAAATTCTTACCAATATGATAATATATTTTTGTCCATACTGATGCAGATAAGCTGCAAAATTAGGGAGATCTTGAAAATTCACTTTGTCATAAGTAAAATCTTTCTTATCCTCCATATAGTCAACATCAGTGATTTGAGCATCCTGAAAGAGAAGGGAGTTCAGCTGTAACACGAGAAGCAATACGGAAAGATTTTGCGTCTTAGCCCAACACAACTTCTTCTGACAATTCCCATTTGTTCGATAGTGATTTTACTGTCGGGACTTCACTGCAGCCTGGCAGAAAGTATGCTGTCAGGATCACTTGCAAACAGTGTGCGCTTCACCTCATACTTACAATCCTAATTAGTGGTACTGACAGGTCTTTTGTGCCTGAAAAGAGCTACATTTAACTGTAACAGAATTTAAATGAATGTGTATGTTGGCATCCTTTCAAATAGCCCCTGGGCATGCGGCTATTTCACTGCAGTTGCCCGACTTCCAGGAATTATTGCCTTAAATCCAGACATTTTTCCCTCAACTCTTAGCTTAACATTAGGGTATTTTTGTTCTATTTAAACCATCAGGCTAATGTAATCTGAAATCTAATTTTTAAAGTGAATTGTACTTCACCTTTGGCTGTCAGTTAAGGATAATATATGGTTTCATAACTGACCATGGGACAATTAAAAATATTTCATGGATTAAATAACTTGAGAAGTGAATATAGCTGGAAAGTATAACTGGCAAAGTATTACAATAAGGTGCTCAAATAAAACTTATTGTAACTAAGCCCTGCCGCGTCTCACATTCTGACAATGGGTCTGCCATTAAAATGCACAACAATTTTTGACACCAGAAGCCTGTACATTAAAATTTTAGCAATTTGAACTGATGTCAAACTAATCAGCTGCAGAACACCGTGGTGAGGACCTCTGGGTTATTTCTCCTGCAGAGCTCTGCCTTCAGAGGGTCAGTGCCCTCCTCAAAGCCCCCACTTACACAAGGGAGTCCAATCGCCCTGTTCCTCTCCACGACTTCCTTCACCTCATCCAGAGAGCCGTAATTCCAGCGGCTGAGCTGGAAGCCCAGGCTCCAGTAGGCAGGAAGCACCGGCAGTCCCACGCACTGCAAGTTGAGAGCACAGAAAAATCCCAGTTGCCATCAGTGGACACTGTGTTTGTCACCCTAGTGCCCCTTTCCCCAGATGCACGCTCCTCAAACATGTTTGAATTATATACACTAAGCTTGGCCATGTGGAATGAGCTGCCCACTCCGAAATGCAATATTTTTTCTATTTTAATATTTATATTCTTTTATTTCTTTCATTTCTATTCTTTTGTTGATATTAAGGAATACAAATATTTTAATTTCCTTTTTATTTATTTTCTTTTAATATTAAGAAATACAAATATTTTGGGACAACGACCTTTCTTTAAAGTGTCAGTGAAACTTATGCAGATCTCAAACAGTGCTAAAGATATCAGTGATATCTAACGACTATAAAATCATGACATACCTAATAATAATAATAAATAATAGCACATTATCTACCCTATAACATTGCTGTATGAATAGGAATTAGTCCTTAGAACAAGAGCGAGCCCCAGCAAGGAAGGATAAGTGGCTAAATGTGGACCATTTCCAGCTTCAATGACCACTGTGTAAATCAGTCAGGTCATACAGAGTTATGAATTTAGCATCTACAGACTTTTTGGGCCTCAAGCTGCTGCATGTTTTCTGCTCCGTCATCTCTAGCAAAAGTAGTTTTAAAGTTTCAGCTGTCACTAACAGGCCAGGTAAAAATATCTACACTCTAGTTTACTCCCAGCTAGCCATTGCTAGTGACAGCAGTCACATTAGAGACCAATTAAGAATTATTCTCACTTAAAAATATTCTGGATCATATTTTCATATAATAGATAATATAGTGAAGTTGTGCTGTCATACAAAAAAGGAAAAAAAACCCAAACAATTAAAAATTCCCAAGCACTTATAAAAATCTGATCAATGTGTACTCTCTCCAGCTAAAGGTACCTGCAGGTACTCCTGGACTACTTCTTCTGGAGTGTTCCCCAATAAGACATAGAAGTCAAGGATCCCACCAATGGTTCTGTAGGTCACTGCTGGAGTGGGCTGCACCGCAAACTCTGCCACACAAGAGTGCACAAAAACAATTCTGAATAGCAACTATATATGAAATAACTTGGTAATTTTCTAACTGCTGATTAGAAAATTTACTTGGAAAAAAACCCACAAAATAAAAACACCTAAGGAAACCAAAACCATTAATTGAAATTGCAATGAAGGGGATATATATTCAGATGACCCTTTTCAATGCCCATATTTCCATTCCTTTACATCCCAGAGAGCAAAGAATCAGAAGAAATCCAATGGCTCAACCTTCTGTCTTTAAAGTTTCAGTACCACTTTCCAGCCTCCGGAGATGTGAAGAGCTCTGTAAAGCGTACGCACATGCTTTCTTACTTGAAGAGACATTTACTTTCCAGTATTGCTGATTCCAAAGTTAGATTCTGATTCCAGAGTCCTGCACATCTGCACAGAACTGCACAGGCGCTGGGGAGGTCTCTGACCATCGTGTTTCCAGCTCAATGTTCATGTTAACTGCTTAATGCCTGTGTTGTTTGTAATAAACACCAGAGTTTTGATCCCAGATCGTTTAGAAAGATATTTAACTGCAATGCTCGGAGCTACAGAGAAAACTTTCTTACCCATGGCATTGCTGTTCATTAGGAAAACACCCAAGGAGGCTCCACTGCTGTCTTCCAAACACAGGAAGAAGGTTTGAACTCCGTAAAAATTGTACATTTCCTTAAGGGACAAAAAGAAGTCGTAAGCAGATTCAAATCTAATAACAGTATCTGCTCTGGGATATTTCAAAATATATCACAGGTAGAACTTGAAACTTCTCAAAATACACCAAGCAACAGAAATAAAGATCCCAACCCCTTCCTACAGTTCTGTTTTCTCTTTCCTGGCGTTCCTCTCTTTTATGAGAACATTACCCATTAAACCAAAACTTTCCCCAGATATATAGATAACCGAGGAGAGCAGATATGATGGATCTTCAGGCAAGCCTGCACATATTACTGTGCTATTTCTGGGTGATACAGACGCACATCAAGCAAACAATAGAGCTTGAAAGGTGCTTTCATCACCTTTCACCGCAGATTAGATTTTACATCTAATTTATGTTTCTATTAATCCTGCAAGGTAACCATTTTGTCTAATCTATGGAAATAAGAGAGTGCCTTGCTTCTTTTTTATTTCCTTTCTAATGTTTTTTTTTTCCATCGTTATTATTAGCAACAAAAACTTCAGAAATTTTAGCAATTGTTGTAATGGTTGTGCTTCTTCCCCTGCAAAAGAAAACTCAGAGCAAATTAACGAGAAACAGAACTTGAGTAATTTGAAATTAGCCTAACCTGATTCTGTTCACTGTCAGTTTAACTTCATGAGTCTACGCTCAGTAGAGCCGTTCAGATAAGAACTATTTTCAAACTAGAGCAGAGTGTAAGAAGGTGTGTCAAGGTAAGGGGTTCAAATTCCAAATTATTAATTAATTACCTACGGAGTTCTCACTCACTAGTTTCTGTTACCGTATTTCAGCAAGACACTGAATTTCTCTCTCAGAGTAAAACAAACAGGTTGTTGCTATACGAAGCAGAGTTAATAATGACAAATAGTCTTACAAATATCAAAAAATGGGTGCCCTAGAAATTGTTTTGGAGAGAAGCAGCCATACAGACTGTAGAAACAAATAACAGCTGACAGATGTATTTTGTCTCGTAAAGAGACAGCTGTTAAAGAGAACTTTTCCGTCATTTGCGAAGTTACAAGGATGATAACTGCAGAACCATGTGTCATGTACTGAATGCTGCACACGGCGAAGCATTGGAAGTGTATGGATACTTATTTTCTTCATCAGTAGAAAACTAAGACTCTCTTATTAATGTTTATCAAGTAATTTTCAACCTCACGTCAACCCAGAAATCAGGGAATGTTCACCACTACCATCTAGCTTTTTAGGAACAGCACGCCGTGCCTGACAAGTCTTCGGGGAAAAATTCAATGGATATTTTTAATGCGTCTACTGCGTAACCGTCCTGGATTACAGAAGCCATGTGCAAAGAATGAGGTGTAGTAAAACCAGTCCTTACTCCAGAGGTACCAATATCCCTGGTGAACAATGGCCAGGTTTTCCAGTTGACGTCGTGCCGGTACTCCTTGTGCGTGTGCTCTCCCACGCCATAGATGTTGTTGCTGGGGAGTTTGATTGACAGCTGTAAAAACTGCTCGGCATACTGCAGTGGTCCTATGGTAGTATCAAACCTGATAAACAATTAGAAAAAAAAAAAAAGAAACAAGTATTTTACCAAGAATTGTTACAAGAATAGTTTCTAGTCAGTGCTGGGCAGCAGGTTCAGGTCTCCACTCAGAGGTGGGATGGTGCGAGGCTGGAGCAGAGGTCTTTGCCCAGAGAATGAGAGGATCCTGTAGAACCTCTCATGCAGGTCCCATTTATTTTCAGGGTCCCTTAGTGACACAATTAAATATCTCCCTAAGAAGCCAAGTGCACCAGAATGGTTGAACTGTTTTGTATTTCCTAGGCAACACCAAATATCATCCTGAGTTAGGATTTCCCACAACTCATGGAATCAGTCTAAACACTCAGTTTCATTCTTTTTGTACTTAATAATGTTCATTTTCCTTTTTCATTCTTATACGTTCTAGGAACATAGAATGTTCTGTGTTCTAAATCTCCTAAGATTCTGAACATTTCCAGCTGGCAAATGTGTCAGAAAATAACCCTGTGATGTGCATTAATATCATACACAATTTCAAATGAATATGCTTTTATTTACTCTCTTCATGTGGTTTTAATTTGAAATTCTTTTTACAATTGTGTTTTATGGGATATTTGTAATGATTAACAGTCATGATATTCATATAGAAAAAATTGGGAAACTTTATCTCGACTTCATCCCAAGGGTCTTTTCCAACCTGAATTGTTCTATGATTCATGTGAATGCAGCCACATTTATTTTAAGGGACTTTATCACTTCAGATATATTAGTACACTGTAACTACATTTATCACAATGAGTAAGTCATTGTCAGTAAAATCTTTTATGCAAAAAGAGGTAATCAAACTATTAAATAAACACACAGTGCAATTATGAACACTGCATGAAAACGGGGGAGTTTGGACTTGCTGCAATTTTAATCTGCTCATTTACCTTTTTTTTTTTTTGAGTTAAAAATGCTTACAAGTTAGAGAGGCTTCCTGGGTGAAATCCTCAACCGAGCTATTTCTGTCCTTTTCCAAAGAGGCTCCCCTTTTCTTTGGTTGTTTAAGAGTTCGGGGAAAATGCTTACCTTGTGTAGACAGACTGATCAAGGATTTATCTCTGAGGGGCTGCTTTAAGATACTCAGAGTCAAGCACCATTGCATTTTTTTTTCCTTAGAGACAGAAAATGCAATTGCTTTTATCCAGTTAAAGAAAAGCCTAAGGAAAATGAAGAAATCTTCCAGAGCACTGTTTCAACACAATTCTGTTGACCTAGGTTTCTTATTCCCCCTCCATGTACCTGTTTAATCAGTCATGCACTGCTGAACACCAAGTCCATCTTTTGTGCTCTCTGTAATTGCAAATCAATCATTACAGAGGATTCTAAGCAAGAAAACAATACTAATAAGAGCACAAGCGTAATTGCTAATTAATTAAACCTGAAACGTTGATAATCCAGCTGCCCTAGCACTCGGACAGGTAATCACTCTCGGACTGATTTAATAAGCCTGTTCATCCTGAAACTTCCTCTTTCTAATGGGTCTTAAAGCCGTGCCATTAGGTTTGTAGGTTCATTTTATTTAGTTAGTTTTAGAACCTAAATGAGATGAAAGCATGCAATGTAGAAGTCTGTAAAATATTTTACTTACAGCGATACATGGCCAGCTTGTCAGTGAATTGCACCAGGTATTCTTGCATATCATAGAACTAAAGGGCAACCTTGTTTTGGTGACTAAGAGCTTCAGCATCATTGTGACAGATAAGATAAAAGATGCAATGACCAGTGTTGCCGTGCAATATGAAGCACTGGCAAGGAGTTCTTCTGATAATACAAATTTGCTGGGTTTATGGAACAAAGGAGCTGTAAAGATTTCCTAGTACTGGGGAAAGTGAACACAGAGCCAGACCTAAAACCTTTTAGACAGAGCTCTCCACAGCACAGAATTTGCTTCCAAAGGCCTTGCAGAACATCCACCAGCCGAAAAAGAGAAGCAGATTACACGTCCAAACCAGCACCTTACACACAGCATCTTGGTCTCACGTTGCTCGCGTGGCAACACGGGGTTTTAGGGAAAAGCAAGGACATCGGAAAAACCCACCCATGTTACTTACACCACTTTCCCACTGCTCACTCTGGTCACTATGATGCCAAAGGGATTCTGCTTCACCTCCACTTTGTAGTTTAAATTGGAGGCTGCGGGTCCACTGAAAGATCCCACGCGTTCGTGAGGGACTTCAAATCTTTGTCTTGCAGGATCAGTGATCTGTACGTATTTAAAAAACAGACATGTTGTGTCTTTAAAAAACAATGTCTAATTCAGACATTTTTCCATCATTAATAATTCTGACTTAGGATATTTCCACCCCTTAGGATATTCCTAGTCTCCTATTCTGCCTTTATTGTTTCTCACTTCCAGTTTTCATCACTCATTTTTAGTCATTTTCCTCATAATATCCTGTGTTTCTCTGGGGCAGCAGGAACCCAGCACAAGAGGAAGATCCCGATCAGCTTCAGAATCCATCAACACCCTATGTTCACAGCATGGGCCGTTGAGTTTTCCCCAGAAAAATCACTGGAAGAGCTAAAGGTATCTGTCACAACGACTGAGAGATATGGTCAGGCCATAAATAAAAAATAACTAAATGCATTTATCCTCAAAATTTTCCTATGATGAGGAAAAAAGGTAGATAATATAGAAGGTGAATTTTTCAAAGGTCTCAGTGATTTTTCATGCTGAAATCCCACTGTGCTAAACACTCATTAACCTGACACATTGCAACAGCAGAGAGGACAAAGAAAGAAGGTGCCTAGCACTTCGGTTGCGTGGATTAATCCAGCCCTCCTCACCTCACTGCAGAGGAACTGCCAGACTGAAATCTTGCACAGAACATGAACCTTAAAATGTCATAGAAAAAGGATTAACCTTGAACCTGAAGCGATTTGGTGTCTGATACTCTCCCGTGAGGAGGACGGTGTCGATATCATTTCCAAAGAGGGAAGGCGATGGCAGCCTCTTTAAAGTAGCCTCGAATCCTTGGGAAAAAACCAACGCAACGTTGCTGTGTTGAACCAGACACTGGCACAAGAATATATCAGGGAGCTCAGCCCGCAGCTTACCTGTCTGAGTTGATCTTACTGACCCATCCACTTCGTACCCGGAGTTTGAAGGGAAAAAACACCAGGGCACACTGGTATCGTTCTGGGGGCTCCAGCAGCAGCCACGCAGGTTGCAGATGCTCTAATTCAAGGACATGAGGGGCACAGATGAGCTGATTTTCTACAAATAAAACCTCTATACTAAAATAGTTAAAATGCACATGGAGCACATTTTACCTTAAACACTAGAATCCTTAATAATATCTGCAGTCAGATCAGCTCCTCATCTCAAACTCTATTGAATGAATTCAATGGCACAGAAAACACTAAATAAAAAGGGTATTTTTCTGGATTCTGAGTAGAAACTTGCTTACTAGACATTATTTTTTTTTCTTAAAACCACAAGATCCACAGGCAAAATGAACATTTAAAAAGAATTATTGAGATGTTTGTGCTGTGAGAGATGCACTACAATCTCACCAAAAGTCACACACTGGAGAGAGGGTAAAAATTATAGTTGGTTTAACTTCAGGTAAGCATCTGGTTTAAAAATCTAAGTATGTATAATTGATCATCATGTGCAATATCTACGTTTTAATGTAATTTTCCAATATCAGAAATGTTCAGATTGCTTCTACAGAGCCTCAAACTGAGACAAATCAATTTCCCCCCCAAACAAGTAAATAAAAAATGTTTTTTAAAGCATATATCTCAGTGTAATGGCACCAACCTTTCCACTACCTTTAAGTAGTTTAATACGCTGCAGTACCTTTGCCTTGCTGTTAGAAATTAACTTATCCATGTGCTGCTTGTATGAGTTTTATGTCTGAAGATAAGATTTGGATAACACGTCACTAAGTTTCCACACATTTTCTCACATTAAAAACCCAAGTCATTACTTAGGGCAAAGGGCAGCGGTAACACAACAACCTTCGCTGAGGGCAAAGAGCAGCGCCCTTAAGTGATCTCAGGTATCCAAACTCAACTTTCAGATCTTCAAGAGCTTTTCTTCTACCTGCCCATTAACAGAAGATCTTTGTGCCTTCATCCAATTCTGGTCAAGTTTTTTGGTGTTTGTACCATGCTTATTTAGAGTGTTCTGCAGGTTGAAACAGGTAGAGATGGTCCAAAATCTCTATTGCCTCTCTCCTTAGTGGCATCTGGTTTTTGGGTTATGGAGCATAACCTGGTTGGTGCAGGTCAGATGCTTTTCTCAGCCTCTGAAGGGAGCAAAGATAAAGCCACCTCCAGCCCAGAAATCATGCAAGTGTTGAAGGAAAGCACAGAAGGAACTCACAGGGCCACTGGCTTGGGGAGTTTTAGTGTGTTTATTCAATAGTGATTGCACAGAGCACAGAAATCTCTGCAAAATTGCCCAGGATAAAACCCAAGACTCACCAGATAAATTTGTGTCTCTCTATCCTGAACTCATCAGGTCAAAAAACACATCTGCTGTCATTTTCATTAGGGTTCCAAGCAAAACATGTGGTTGGAGGAGAGATGTAACGACTCATTTTCCTCCACGTGGATCCGTAAATCGACGCACTTTCAAAGGCTGTGAAAAACCTATGCTCATTCTCCACCTTCCCAACATAAGGGCCCACTGGTTGCCATTTTATAAACTATTTCAGAGTAAATGAGAAAAAGCACCAATCCCCCCCAAGAGTGCAGAGATCACAGGTTTGCTCTCTTAATTTACTTAATTTCCTTCATATGTGGGGAATTATCCTAAATACATAGTTAAGTTTTTACTGATGCATTCTTGTTTGATCAAACTTCATGGCAATTTTTCACAGCAGTAAATAGTTAATAAATATTTAATTTCTTTCAGCATGGTTATCATCATCCACACTGTGATCGGTTGATAAATACATATTCTCTTTCCATATTTCTACCCTCTGCAATCCTATGCATTTTCTGGCTTCATCTAAGACATCCCCAGTAAATAAAGAAATCAAGACAAGACACTAACCTGCTGTATGAGCTTAGGCAAATCATAATTTTCCCAGATGCTGTTTATTCTGAATACCAATAATGGAAACGACTCCAGAAGAGTTGTTACATTATTCTAAGCAGGTACCTATAATTATACAGCTTTGCTGGTTGCTCTGTTAGAATATCCTAAAGAAGGAAAGCCAAAGGGCTTCCAGGAGAAAATTTATACTGGTGTGAGTGGACAGACTGGGGTGGGACTCTGGCTCATGTCAGACACGCACTTACGAGCTTTTATCAGGGCACAGGCTAAAAGAGGTATTTATCTCTCTATGCCTGTGAAATCCACTGCCTGGTCTTCGCTAAGGAAATAACAGGGTTAGAAATCACTAATTTTACCTCTGACTCCAGAGTGAGTACCCCAGTGTTCAAATCTGCATCTGGCCCTACTGTTTTTTTTTTTCCACTGGCCCTCATAACTTGATTATTGCTATTTTTTTCTAACGGTGATGGTACAAAGCAAGGGCAGACTTCCAAGAAGACTTAGTTTCAGCCATAGCAAAACCCGTTCCTTCCCTGTGTGATGAGTGCAGCATCACTCACCACTGCACCAGGGCAGCATTCACGTGGAGGAACTGGTTCAGAGGTAGTAATTAAAGGGATCTGCATGACTGCTCCTACCCTGGTGGGCTCTCTCTTGGGGGCAGAAAGAACCGACAGAGTAGAGGGCCAGGCTGTGATTTGAGCCTTTACTGACCTGTTTGCCCACAGGGCTTTATTGAACTATATGTTGTAAAAAAACTCATGGCATGACAGAAGCTTTAACAACTGCCATTTCTGGAATTGGACTAGGAATTTCTTCCGAGATTGAGACAGCTGGTAAATATTTTTTTTTTATACCTCTGTGAATGACATAAGCTTCACACATCATAATAAATTAATTATTTTTTCTCCTGAGCTGCTCCCCCAAACAAAGCAAGATGCCAGGCATCCACCAGCTTCCATCAGAAAATGAGAACATCCACCGTAAAGACGAAAACCAATAATGACAATAAAAATTAGCCTTTCAAGACCGACAACTACAAACTTGTTCTTAATATGAGAGTACTGGAAAAATTAAGATGATATTTTTTCACTAGAAATCTTAACTCAAAGATTCTTAACCCAAAAGGTGAGTCCAAACCCTGCACTCACCCAAATAAGAGACACCAGAACGAAGCAACGAAAGCGCTGAGATACAAATTGGTTCCGAGAGAAAACTGTGACCATGTCTCTTATTCTATAAAAGTCTTGGTACATCTGGATAAAGTGCATCTTCACCTGCTGTTTTTGAACGATTACGAATGCTAGTACTTGACCATCAGACAAAAAGAATCTGCTCAGGTAAAGTTTTTCAATGTAAAGAGTGACCTTTTTTTAACTGCTCAATGTCTGACTAATTGTTTCCACCTATCCCAAACCCAAACTGCTGAGGAGCACTTTGGCAGTCATCTTCAGTCACTGACAGCAAACTGCTACCGTGGCTAGAAGAGTCAGACCTTTTGTCAATAGTCTGAAATGAGTTACACGGGAGTTACACAGGAGTTACACTGCCCTGCAAAGTGTTCAGGCAATCAAAGATTACAAAAAAGTTCAGAAAACAACCAATATAGTAGAGGCAAGTCAAGTTTTTGTAATAAAGCATGAGACTTCATGGGATAAAGCCTAATTTCTAATTTTTCCTGGAATGTTTTCAGACCTTTGTTGCTATTTGATCCGGGATGCAGTCAATTCTCTCTGCTATTGGTTTTGTCGGACATGTCGGCGAAAACACTGCTAAAGAAATAAATCAGTGGGTTATTACCAGCATTTCCAAAATGTACGAATAACCTGATTATCTCTTAACTCAGTAGCTGTTTCTGCTGTCTGTTTCGCACCATCCCGAGATTCCTAACAACCAACATAGGTTCAAATGGGTGTAAAATCTTGCTAGTGTGATTTATTTTTACCTTTGAAAAATTGCACACAGCTATTTCAGATAAAAGTAGGACAATTTTGCTTTAAGGTTTTTGACCATATGGGTGACACTGGTAATATTCTTTCTTAAGGTATACATTAATCCAGTTTTCAGCAGATTCTGTGGCTCAGTATGCATTGCTTCTTGTGAAAATGCATGCAAATTAAAATTGGAAGGGTTTTTCTTAATTTGTTCTGCGCTGCTGCTGTCTCAGGTGCTCCTTCCCCTAAAATACTGTTCTTCCACAGGAGCTTGAATTAGAGCATCGGGTAAAAGCACCATAAAGCTCCATTAAGATACTCCACTGCATTTCAGATGTGTCAGACCGAATTTGAGGTGACCTCTCGGCAACTTTATCGGGTAAAAGGGTACCTGATGCCTGTTTCCAATTTTTCCCAATGCTGAAAGTTAATTTACATACTTTGGAGCATTCTAAATGTTTTCAGTGAGAACTATGAAGTGTAGAAACCTTGCCTCAGGCATCGGAACAGGCTGCCCAGGGAGGTGGTTGAGTCACCATCCCTGGAGGTGTTTAAGAGGTGGGGAGATGCTGCCTTGAAGGACATGGTTTAGTGGTGTTGATAGAGCTAGGACAAAGGTTGGACTCAATGATCTTGAAGGTGTTTTCCAGCCAAAACTGTTCTATGATTCTATGAGATGCCTACATATATACACGGACTGGCCTGTTGGACTCATCTGTACTATATGGACTTGCCCTCAAGCAGACTCCTTCTCATCTTGAGACTGAAACAGGTAGAAAATACGCAGATAGTAGGCTGTATGGGCAGCCTTCCTAAAACACAAAAACGTTTGTTTTGTATAAATGATTATTTTTCTTTTACTGCCATTTTCACTTCCAAGTTTTCTGCTTCACTCGCCATGTGTAAATGGAATTACACGCAACAGAACTGCAGGCAAAGCAAGGTATTCTGTATCATATCCCTGTAAGACAAGTGGTTTCTAATGTACCAATACATTAGCAGGAAACACTTCAGGTTGTTATGGTTATAATGTATGTTCCACAAAATCTGGTTGTTCCCACATAGTCTCCCTCATCCCTTTTCTTTTTTTCAAGGTTGTTGTTATTTATTTATTTTTTTTTTACTCAGATATTTGAAATCATGCCAGTTCTGTGTTTATAAAACATGTGCAGTCTTGGGAGAAGAGGATAAAAGTTGGCTTCAGGATAATAAATTCTGGGCCACGCTATTTTTTTATGTTCATAACTGGCAACTTCACTCCTGTTATCTGTGGGAACGACTGACCATGACACCTTTGGGTAGTGATGAGTAATGCTGAGACTCAGGACTTTACACCGCTTTTCTTTAATTATTATTTTTACAACACTCATATTGATTTTTTTTTTTCTCATTTGAACATCCATATTCTCGAAAAGTCTGAAGCCAGGAGTGACAGAAACAGTGCCAACAGTCAGTTCCTGAAGCTTTGGCGAGTTTATGATAGTCTCAGCAAGCAGAGCTGAACACCTTCCGCTCAGGGTTTTTGCTCTGGTGCTACAGCAGCAACGGGAAGTACTTACCTACTGTTTTGACTCCAGATATTCCTGATGCTAAAAGCCCAATGAAGACACAGGTTATGGCTGTCACCAGGCAGAGAAGGACAATCAAGGTGAGTTCCAGCCCACTGAACTTCTTCTTGCCCATCTAGACCCAGAGAGACACCAGTGGTAAAAGGAAAGCAGAAGCAACAGCTTTGAAAACTCCGTAAATTGCATTAGTAATTTATCGAATTAGCACAATTTATAAATGATTCGGATCTTAAACCATGTCCTCTAATCCCAGGGCTTAAATAAATGTTGAGATTTAGGGCTGGGCTGGCCACTATATGCTGACAGACACTCTACCTCTCTCTCCCCTGTCTAAACGGGAAGAAAAAAGGAAATGAGGCAGAGAGGCTTGCAGGTTAGAAAAGAAGACTAAAACAGCCTTAATGAAACAATAATAGGCATAATAATGAAAAGAATTATGACGAAAGAACTATATACATATATAGATAGATATAGATATATA